TTTTTTTTTTTAACAATTTCTAATAAAGAACTGATTCCCCCACATCCAGTTTTTTTCCGCCATCCTTTATCCAGGGGCTGTCAGGAACCTTAGAACACACTACTGTTCTACTTTTAAAACCCTTCATTGGCTGGGCACAGTGGCTCACGCCTATAATCCCAGCACTTTGGGAGGCCAAGGTGGGCAGATCATGAGGTCAAGAGATTGAGACCATCCTGGCCAATATGGTAAAACCCTGTCTCTACTAAAATGCAAAAAATTAGCTGGGCATGGTGGCACGCACCTGTAGTCCCAGCTACTCAGGAGGCTGAAGGAGGAGAATCACTTGAACCCGGGAGATGGAGGTTGCAGTAAGCCAAGATCGCGCCACTACACTCTAGCCTAGCAACAGAGCGAGACTCCGTCCCGAAAACAAAACAAAATGAAAAACCCTTCATTGACATCTCAGGATAAAAGCTGATGTTTTTAGCTTGCTTTTAGAGGCCCTCTGTTATTTGACCAAATGCACCCAGCCTCATTTCTCACCACTACCACTCCCTCTAATTTCCCTTACACTCTATCTACATCCAACTTCTCCAACTTCTTCAAGTATCCCATAGCTTTTACACTTCTATGCTTTTGTGCATGCTGATCCTTCTGCCTAGAATACCAATTTCCCTATGCTTCAACTGTGAATTCACTCATCCTTCAAGGCTTAATTCAATTGTTATTTCTTCCATGAACCCATTTGGAAATGTGTCATCACTTCAAGAAGTTAGGTGCCCCCTCCTCCATGTTCCCAAAGCAATGGCTAACCTTCTAGGTTATCCCTTTTATTATTGCTATTGTAATTGTTTACAGGTATGTCTTCCCTAGGAGCCAGAATGTTCCTCAAATATTGGGCCCAATTTTGTCATCTTTGCAATCCAACAATACTTTAGATAGTATCTAGCTCACAGTGAACTCAAATATTTTAATTAATCACACTTTGCATAAAGATATATACCTTGCCTTTAGGAAGTTTAGTACAGATAAAATTCAAGGTGCTTTACTTTCTGACATTGACCTGCCTTATCAACTAAGCCACTACACCTAGACACAGCCTAATTCAAACTAATTCAAACCTCAGAAATCTCTTCCACTGTACTTGCCAAGTATTCTTATTTACTTATACACACACACAGACACACACACAAACACACACCCCAATGTGCTTCCTGTCAATGATTTCTCCTTTCTCTGACTGATAAAAATCTTACTCATCCATCAAGGCCAAACCCTAACCCCACTTCTTTGCATAATTCATTCTGACCCACCTTTGGCAAACCAACTGCTCCTTCTATTTTTGAACAAAAGAAATCAATCAAGCAAGGACAATCTTGTTAATGCAGATTAACTCTGTGATGTGCTTTTTATCCATTTCTTCCAGTTTGTCTTCCCAGATTTACCTTTGTTTTCCCTCCCAACTATAACTCAAGTCCCTAAGCACCCACAAGAGAACTTTTACTGTCTCAGTTCTCAAGTGTACCTTCCCACTCCAGGCTGCCAGTTCCAAAATTACACTCCCTGCAGTCATCTGATACCCGAGTAAAGCCCTTCCTTGACTCCCAGGTCCTTCAATCAACAGTTTCATTGAATGTAACTCCATTTCAGGCCCACAGCCCACGATTATGCCAAGAAAGGTTTCACCAACCTTCCTGATACAGACTTTTCTCCATTTCTCAGTGCTTTTACTGTGTTTGGAGAATTCTGTGGTAGATATTCACTTTCAAAGAGATTTCATTATTCCTTAAAACCTAAAATATGCATTGGAATCTAATATTTGAATTCTTTTACTGCATTCCAGCCTAGAAGTCATCCAGCCTATGCTTGAAAAGTTGCAATGACAGGAAATCTAAAATCTCCAAAGACTATCTATTCTATCTTCAGTCATCTCATTTAATGAGTTATCACTTATAATAAGCTCTGTCTTACACTGCATTGCAATAATTTGTTTACATATTTGCTTTCCCTTTCACCCCTCCCCTGCTAGACTTAGACTATAAACACCTCAAGAACAAAGTTCATGTCCTATGTATTTCTCGATCCGCAACACCAGGCCTGGCACAGAATAGGTAATCAATAAAGATTTATTGAATAAACAAACGAATGAATAAACAAAGAAAAAAGTTCCATCTGTTAGTACTAAATCCTGTATCTTAGAGCTATTCAGAAAAGACCACTATCTCTTCCCCAGACAGAACTTTAAATACCTGAAATACTCTTTTGAGACCCCCCAAATCTATTTTCTCAATGTCAAACATTTCCAGGACCTTCAACACTCACAGAACACAATTTTGTGCTTTCTTAATCACTTCCTTCTGAACTTACCTAAGGTTTCTATACTACTTTCTAGGTTCCTTGCAGCCCTTTCCTATAGGCTCTCCACAAGTCTTTCCTCTTTTTACCCTTATTGATCCCCTCAATGGTCATTCTGTATATCTACACTCACCATAATAATTAGCACATTTTAAAACCTATACCATTTTAAACTATGGGAAAACAGGTCCAAAACAAGAAACATGCTCAACTTTTGAATAAAGTGAGCAAACACACCTTAATCTTCTAATAGTCTCTGTAGACCAAAAGTTTGGAAGGATGAAAAACCAATGCCTCAGACATGCTGCAATATAAAGCTAGGGATGAGGCCAACATTATGACAGCTCAGATAGCACCATTCTATCCATCGTGGACAACAAATGAATACAACAGACAGAGAGAAAGACACAGTGATCACATTTTACCAA